CTTACACTGTCCGAAATGGTAGCCACTAACCACACAAGGGCTATTAAGCATGTGAAATATGTCCAGGGTCACCAAGGAACTAGATTTTTAGGCTTATTAATTTTATTATTTTAAATTTTAAAGCTAACATTCATTGTGTTATTGGGAAATCTTTTAGCCTGTTTGGAGCAACTTGGATATGTGAAACTACTTTTCCACTTATAGGTTTTATAAAATCTAAACATAGATCAAGTATTTCTAATAAAAATTTAGTTATTGAATTGCACTGCACATTAGTTTAAAATGGATAACGTATTTCAAAGAATGAATAGAAAAAAAATAATTAAAATATCTCAATAAATTTTAATGTTGACTACATGTAGAAATGAAAATACTTTGTATATAGTAGGTTAAATATATTATTAAAATTAATAATATATTTCTTTTCACTTTTTTACTGTGCTACTGGAAAACATTAAATTGTATATACAATTTGCGTTCTATTTCTGTAGAAGGCACTGATAAAAGTCATTTGTACCAGTGGCATAAGTACCTGAGATAGGCCAGTGAAGTGCTTTAGAAAAGCTATGTAGTAGAGGAAAAAGCAAAGAGGCCAAGCATGACTGCACTCAAACCCCAGCTCTGCCGTTGACCACCCAAAGGCACTTGAACCAGTCATGCAGCTTCTGAGCTGTAATTCTTCATGTGTGAAATGGGGAGAATAGTTTCCTAGCTTAAACAAAATGTGTTTAAAAACCTAGTGTGTCATAGGTATAAACTGTTGAATGAAAGAGTCATTCTTCAATAGAAAGATTTCAAGCAATTACTAAAAATTACCTGCTTCTTATTGTCTATATCTTCCTACAAATGGACTATATTCTGTGGACCTTTCCTACCCATAATACAACTTTGTTATTACCTTACATTTGACAGATGAATCTGTAAATGTAAGGTAATAACAAATATTTGTATACTATATACAAATATTCTATTTCTATTTTAATAGAAATAGAATATAGATATAATTTTTAATTGCTATTCCATTAAACAATACCATAATCATAATAGGATTAGAAAAGATAAGCCTACGACAAATAAAAGCAAGCACTTACCTTATAAAGTAAATGGATGGAAAGGAGCTCCATCTATAGTTTTACTACTTACGTAACATATAGGCTGACAACCTTTATACTTAATGCTACTGACAAAAATGTTCAGCATATGAAAGTACTGTTTCTATTTGCGTTTTAGGTGGTATAATAATATGCATTTCCAGAAATACCACCATGATTTTTTACAAAGCTAAAATTCACCTTAAAAAGACCAATAGTATCAGAATACTTATGCCCTTTTCCAGATTTCTAGATATCTATCATGATGGGACCAAGTGTTCCATAAGTTCTAATATGCACTGCTGTCTACCAGGCATGGTGGCTTACACCTGTAAGTCCGCTATTCAGGAGGCTGAGGTGGGAGGACTACTTGAGGTCAGGAGTTCCAGACCAGCCTGGACAACATAGTGAGTAAGATCCCATCCTTAAGAATACTGTTTAGCGCTCGCTTCAGCAGCACATATACCAAAATTGAAACAATACAGAGGAGATTAGCAAGGCCCTTGTGCAAGAATGACATGCAAATTTGTGAAGCATTTCATATTTTTTTTAAAAAAGAATATTGTTTTAAAAACTAGCTGAGCATGATGGCATACACCTGTAGTACCAGCTACTCAGGAGACTGAGGCAGGAAGATCCCTAGAGCCCAGGAGCTTGAGGCTGCAGTGAGCTATGATTGCACCATTGTACTCCACACTTTTTAAAAAAAAAGACAATTTTTTAAAGATGCACTGTCTAAAAAGTTAATAATAAGTTAATAATATATAGTCACTAAGATGTTAAACATGATCGGGCTCGGTGGCTCAGCCTGTAATCTGAACACTTTGGGAGGCCAAAGCAAGTGGATTGCCTGAGCCCACGGGTTCGAGACCAGCCTGGGCAACCTGGCGAGATCTTGTCTCTACAATAAATCAAAAATTAGCCAGGTCTGGAAGTACATACCTGTAGTTCCGGCTACTTGGAAGGCTGAGGCGGAAGGATCACGGAGCCCAGCAGGTCGATGCTGGGGTGACCATGAACATGCCACTGCACTCCAGCCTGGGCGATGGAGTGAGACTCCAACTCAAAAAAAAAAAAATGTTAAACACGGGAGCCAGCAATATTTACTTTAAAATAATTCTGGCTGGGTATGATAGCTCACACCTGTAATGCTAGCACTTTGGGAGGTAAATGAGAGGACTGCTTGAGTCCAGGAGTTTGAGACCAGACTGGGAAACATAATAAGACTTTGTCTCTAAAAAAACTACACAGGAATGGTGTTGTGTACTTGTAGTCCCAGCTACTCAGGAGACTGAGGCAAAAGGATTGCCTAAGCCCAGGAAGTAGAGGCTGCAGTGAACCGTGATTGTGCCACTGCACTCCAGCCTGGGTGACAAAGTGAGACTCCGACTCAAAATAATAATAATATAACTTCATCTAATTTTTATACTATATTTCTTTGCAATTTAAAAAGTGGCTACAAATTGCTATTCCATTAAACAATACCATAATCATAATAGGATTAGAAAAGATAAGCCTACGACAAATAAAAGTAAGCACTTACTTTATAAAGTAAATAGATGGAAAGGAGCTCCATCTATAGTTTTACTACTTATGTAACATATAGGCTGAAAAATCTATTCCAAAATAGCTTAGACAAATTAATAAGTAGAGAATTCATAATGGGTAATTATTAGAAAGGAAGAAGTCTAGAAGTCATATTTCATCATCCAGTATGATATCAAGAAAAAGGACCATTTCTATCCACACTGACTCTTGGTAAAATGATAAATACTGACTAGAAGGCTTAAAGATCAACTCACTACAATTATTCTATGTGCCTGTGAGAACTAATTGATAATGACCTCTCTTATCTTCTATCTGCTTCTTGCCCCTAGTCTCCATTTGGTCCTTTTATCATTTTTTTCTTCATTCATTTGATCAATATTTATTGAGCCCCTACTCTGTGACCAGCAGTTCTTGAATCTCAATAGCCTGTCACATTATTGAAACAAAAGCACTAAATTAAGATGAAAGTAAGAGGGGGTACATTTTAAAAATTTTTAAGTTTGTTGGGATATACGTGTGTTTACTTTTTATGAACTTGGAGTTGTGTAACTGAACTTCAAATTTATTTTGGTGATAAGTCAGATTTGAAGGTCAGTTACACAATATCCAAGTTCATAAAAAGTAACCTGGTTTCCAACATAATTTTTTTTAGTCATTTTAGCTTATACTATGTCACAGAGCTAAAATCCAAAGTTCAGTTACAGTTTTCCAAGTTATTGCAATAAATTTCTAATTCTTAGATTTTATATTAACACAAATACCTCCTGATCCAAAGCTAATTTTACTACTATAAATGAGCTTTCTCCAAGTTGTTCATCAAGTTATATAATAGACCAGATAAGGCTCACAGTGAAATACCTCTTCATTAATTCTCAACTAAGGATGAATTCTAGGAAACAAAATAAAAATGATAGGTCAGCAGACCTTATATGTTTATTAGATAAAACTTTTATTAACTTGTTTATTGAATGATTTACTTATTGGTTTTTTTTTAATAGATTGTAAGCAATTTGGGGGCCCATTTGAAAAGCACAGGTTTCAAGATGGTTTCTGGAGGTTGAATAAATGAAAGAAAGAAATGTTCAGATTTGAGAGTTACCAAAAAAAAGGAGTTTAGTCTTTGAGACTATTTTTCCCAACCCATTAGCTAAAGACATAGGTGTTAAAGTCTAAAAATATAAGTTGTATGACCAATCAATTATGAAAAATAGTACTTTGCTATTATAAGACATCAATAAATTAATCCAGCTTCAATTTATTGCTTTATTGCGATATGTACCAATCACTACTCCAAACACTGATGTTTAAAAATAAATAAGGGCTATAGGTGTGAAGCATGAAGGGGGAGGCTGTTTCCACTAAATTCATCTAAACTAATCATAATCTTCAGTACTCATTAAATCATAAAAAACAAAGCAGCAATCTCCACTAGAATGTTTTCTTTCCCAATAAGAAGGATTGGCAAAATCTGCTTTCTCAGGTGTCCTAAGATTTTGCAGTTTTTATAATTTTTGCTTGCGGCTAAGAAAATACAAAGTAAGACGCCTTCAGTGACACTATTTTTTGTTAAAGAGTAAGGTGGGAAGAGGATGGAAAGAACAAATGAGATCAGAAACATCACAGCATAGAGAAAAGAAAAATATCGGGACAACCCCTTTGGGTTCCCTCCCACTGTGGGAGCTTTTCTGGTCCTCAATAAATCCTGTTTTCTCACTTATAAAAACAAACAAAAACAAAAAAAGAGAGAAAACAAAAATATCAACATGAAATAAATCAGAATAGATTTTTACACAGTATCATTCTCACACTGAAACTAACCTAAGGCAAGCATCTCAGAACTGCCCAGAAATGAATAACCCCATTGGACACACACTTTGTCACAGTTGTCAGCAAAAGCAAACAGTGCAGAAATCCTCTAGATAAACTCAGGAACAGACTAAAAGCCTTGATAAGTGAAAACTAAAAGCCTGTCATTGGCTGGTCCTTCTAGTGAAGCAGATCCTTTAGGGCACTTTGCAGCTGACAAGCAGCAGCAACTTTTCCCCCCTTTTCTTTTTCTTTTCCTTTTTTTTTTTTTTTTTTTTTTTTTTTTTTTTTTTTTTTCTTTTTTTTTTAGGCACTAATGGCCTGGTCTGGCAGGTTCATTCGTTCCACTTCAGCAGATATTACCTTAGGTTCTTAAGAAAGTCAATCGTTTTAACACGGACAAGCGTAAGTCAAGATAATTTGACCACTTTAAAGAACAACAAATGTCTCTAAAGTGAACAAAACATGTTTCGTTAATGAATGGAAGAACTGAAGCCTTTGCAGTCATGTCTGCCAGCATGAAACCCATTACCAGATCACCCAAATTCCACTTACCCCCAGCATCTGATGGAGGTAGTGGTACTCTGGCCCTTGGTTATACAGCAAGAAGGTTTTCCAGAAAAGCAGGACATTCAGGGAGAGCCAGACGAGCTAAACCAATTATACAAGAGAGAGAAAAACCGAAAATTGAAAATAACCATTACCTGATGAATGGAAACCACAAGTACATTCCCTGGACGCAGTACTTTCTGTGCAACCTCAATTAGTCATTGCAGAAAGCACTTTCAATTAACCAGCAAGCTGAAAACCACTCAGAGGAAAACAAACCTGACTTTACCCAGCCCTTTCACCAGAGATTAAGCGTTGGGTTGCATATAGGACTCCTAAATGATCTGCAGATATCCCCTGCAGTGCAAAACGAGATTCAGAAATTAGTGGCATCACCATATCCCAAAAAAGACAGAAGCAATCTGGGAAAAAGAGCAGAGGGGGCACAGATGTTGAAAGGATTAAAAGAAAGCTGTGTTCACGTCCAGTGACCTCTCTCCCTCCACCTCCGCTCCCCCATGAGTGTGTAGCAAATTCCCATGCAGATGGAGTTGGGGGGGGGGGGGGGGGGGGGGCATTGTTATCTCCAGGGTAGAGTTGTGTTAGTTGAGAACGTTCAAATTAGAAACAAACTTGCAGTTCAGCTTCCCACCCGCGTACGTTCGGAGGATGAATCTAATCGAAGGAGTGCCCAGCCCGCCATCCTACCAGGCAGAGGTGCTTAACCCCTTCATTGGCGAGCCAGCTCCTCCAGGACACAGCCATGCCGTGGCCGCCGCTG